ACGATATTGTATCCATACCAACAAAAATGTGGAGTACATACTTTATGTGGAGCAAGGGTGGGAAATTTTTTTTGGCATGCTGATGAAATTTTCTGTGTAGTAGTTTATGAGCATGCTGAGGATACTTTCTGTGTTGATGTTTAGCAATGCAGCAAGTCTTCTCTTTTACATACCAGGCTTCATTGTCTGTTGGCTATACACCGTGCTTCATTGTCTGGTGGTTTTCAAGGACAAAGCCATTATAGATCCTCGCTTACTTCCTTCACTTAGGAGAGGATAATAGATTTCTTACATTAAAAACAATTTGTACTATTAAAGATATTAGATGCAAGAAGTTGTAGGTTAAGCCTGATTTAGAAAATAAGGTAAAAACTTAAAATAACAATTTTTATTGATGTGGGTAGTGTCTTTAAGTACTGCAGCTGATGAAACGTGAAAAATCGTGAAACAGTTTTTAAGTTCAATGTTTTCCTAAAATTTTTAGATTTGAAGTGTATTTTTGTAATAGAAACGAATTTAAAAACATAGAGGCGCTCTCTTATTGGATTTGGCGTTTCTCGATGTGTCTTTAACGCCAACCGATCAATCATATGCTATTATTATAGCAGCTAAGGGACCGAGTTACGTCATGCCACCAAGATGGCAACCAAAGTAACTGCTGTTTGAATTGATTCTTAGTTATTGGAAACTAAATATTTTATTTCATGACACTAAAGGGGCGTAAAAAGTTAATATGATTTTTTTCGTGTGATGGAAGTCATGATAAATAAATTTATACAATAAAACAATCATGTATACTCCCTATTATTATATCGAAAACCATTTCGAATCGTGATCTTCAACGACATTATCGATACTTTGATATCTAAACGGTAACATTCCTAAAACGAGGTTATATTTATTAGCGTCACCTGGGGAATAGCTAAAATGTTGTCTTAATAAACGCTTAGTGTTGTTTTGCTATCTTTAGCTAGAGGGTGCCACACGCGCACTAGCTCAAAGTTTTTGTATATAAATGTTCCCAATGTCCGCTCTATGGTATACCTATATATTTAAATCTCTTCGATTGCAGGTAATAAATAGATTATTATAATAATTTAATATTGTAATATACAGGTTGATTGGGAGATGGGTACAAAGCTATCAAGCGCCGCTATTATAGACAGTTTAGAACCATTTAAGCTATGCTGTTCTTAGATGAAGCCCAAGCATGTTTTTTAAATAAGTTTTTATTATTTTTAGCGAAAATGCCCAAAATTTTCTAATTAACTATTATTTATGGCTAAATTAAACAATAAAAAACATGTTTTTTTTATTTTATTCTATTAAAGTCATATGTAAGCAATCTAATAAGACATGTTTTAAATGTTTTAAGGTTGTTATAAAATGTTTTAAGCACATGTATTTTAAGATATTTTAAGACGTTTGAAGTTTATGAAAAATATCAAAAATTTATAAATACTGTGTTTAGCTCTCATTTAAAAAAAACTAGACTAAGTTTTTTCGTTCAAACCTCTTTGAAAACATGCTTGATTATTGCTCTTTGTTTTGTTTTGAGGTATCATTCATGCCGATATCATAAAAAAAAAATTCTTTTGATATCTAATTAAAACAAAATTTGAACTGAAATTATCAATTTTTGATGTTTAAAATAACTGCCGTGATTATTGATTACAAGCACAGGCCCGGTGTTTGCTCCACAAATACTTTTTTGTTCAAAATTGTAGCGTAGTAAAATTCTAAGAAAGAAGTTGTGGGGATTCTCTAAACAATAGCTGCCCAGGCATACGTGCACCTGGCGTCGAAGATGATATTTTGGCAGCGTTTGAAGCAGATCCAACTAGTACTAGAGTAGTAGCTCAAAATTTAAACATTTCTCAATGTAAGGTGTGGCATACAATGCACCAAAACGACAAATATCCTTTCCATGGCAGAGGTGTTGCAAGGTCTGGAAGTGCAAGATTTCCAGAGAAGGATGAAGTTCTTCCGTTTCCTACTTAACAGGGATATTAAGGATGCATGGTTTTTATAATCGATCTTGTGGACTGATGAAAGTAAATGTTTTAGGGAGGGAATCACCAATTTCCATAACCTGCACGAATAGGCGGACAAGAACAACAATCTACATTGGAAGAAACAAGTATCCTTCCAGAGAAAATTTTCAGTAAATGTGTGGGCTGGAGTAATAGGCAGAACATTGTTCGGGCCCCACTTTTTGCCGGATTCTTTAAATGGCGAGAATTACTTGCAATTTTTGGAAATGGATTTACCGTTGCTTGTGGAGCAATCCGGTGCCCCGATATTTGAAACAGATCGAGAATTTTTAAATAACAGCTTCCCTCAAAGTTGGATTGGACGAGATGTACCCATCCCTTGGCCCGCACGGTTACCTGATCTGACCCCAATCGACTTTTACGTGTGGGGCCGGGCCAAAGAACTAGTTTATACGAGTATAGAAATAAATACAAAGGAAGAACTAATAGCTCGAATAAATTCTGCATTAGAAATGACGGCCGTCAGTTTGAACATGAATAATAAAGGATTTCAAATAAAATTTCGTTTTAATAAGTTAGACAAAAATTTAAATTTACTCCCTTAAATTGGTTTTTAAGACTTAGATTCAACATTTTTTAAGATATCTGCGTGCATGAGACCTCAAAACAAAGAGCGATAATCAAGCATGTTTTCAAAAAGGTTTGAACGAAAAAAACCTAACCTATTTTTTTTAAAGAGCGAAAAATTGAATTTATAAATTTTAGAACTTTTTCGTGAACTTCAAACGTTTTAAAAAAAATATCTTAAGATACATGTGCTTAAAACATATCTTATTGGATTGCTTACACATGACTTTAATAGAATAAAATAAAATACATGTCTTTTATTGTTTAATTTGGCTATAAATAACAGTTAATTAGAAAATTTTGGGCATTTTCGCTAAAAATCATAAAACTTATTTAAAAAAAATGCTTGGACGTTATCTAAGACTAGCATGGCTTAAATAGTTCTAAACTGTCTATACTATCGGCCCTTGAAAGCTTTGCACCATCTCCCAATCACCCTGTATTTCTTTCTTAATGTTGTTATGTAATATTCTGTCTTACACAGTTCTTATTCTGATCAGATAAAGGTAAAATGTGTTGGTCTAGGAATAGTATAATAAAAAAAATAAGTTGCAGACTATAAATTAATGTATTACTACTTGGCTAAGGTTCTGTCATTTTAAACTCAAGTTCTGATTGGTGGATGTTTCTCAGACACGTAGGCTAGGTAAATTTAGTACAGAAAATTGTAATTAATGATTCAGGTTGCTATCCATACTGCAACCTTTATAAAACATTAAATATAAAAATGTTTTATACCATATTTCTGTTCTTTTAATCAGTTAAGCTTAAGTCGCCTATGTATTTATGACGAAATTAAATTATGTATTTAGTCTTAAAAAATGTATGTTAATAAAAACAGAGAATTCATCACCTCATTTTGTCTCATGGGTGTTATGTTATAAGAGATCTGTCAAAAAATCTCATGAGTTCCGTTTAGTCTGCTGTATAACCATCTCGTTTACGCTAGAGGTAAAATATCCAAATCGACGACGTGAACACATTTGACGAAGCTGCGTCAAATGTGTTCACGTCTAGAACTACGATTGTCAAGCCGCCTGCCAAGCATGTCAGGCACAATTTCAGCAGTAAACTTTAATAGGCCAATAAAGAAGAAAAAAATCACAAAAACTTGCTGTGCTTTGATAATACAAGTGTTTATTAATAGATCTTTTTGTTTTTCAGAAAAAGGTATTCTTCCAAGAGAATGTGAGGAAACTACTCAACGTGGTAAAGCCATGTTGCAGCTATATTATGGTTGTAGCACGAATGGGTCGGCTCACCGGGGAAGGACCACGCTCTCACAGAAAACCAGCGTAAAATAGCAGCTTAACGCTGCTGTGTTTCGTATGGTGAGTGTAGAGAACCGGAGACCCTTTTTACTGGTAAATAGGCATTCCATCTTAGTCCTCACAGGTGACAACGCATCTGCATCTTGAGTCTTTATTGAGGATAGATGTAGATGTCTATGGGTCACAGTAACCACTTACCATCAGGTGGACTGTGTGCTTGTTTGTCACCCGATCCTATAAAAAAAAACTGCCGAAATTCTCCTCTTTTTTTGACAAAGTATTCGATTCTGTTAATGGCAGCTATAATAAAGAAAAAAAAAACTATATGGAAAGCATCTTCTTGGATCAGCAAGGCAGCAAGAACACCATAAGTTGTGGAATGAAGCATAAGCTATATTAAATAGTCAAATAATCCTAAGAGTGTACCAACAATAAAAAATTGGTATATAAATTCTTTAAAAAAACTTAAGTATGGTATTAGTTCTGTTTGGATGTGGCACCTCAACCAAGACCCTATTTAAATCTTTTTGGGGCGGGAAGCACAATTACATAGGGTATATATTCTTCTGTGCCTGGTAAGCATGTATCTCTAATAACATTTAGTTTGTTTTGTGTCAGCGATTTCCCGATAACAGAGTTTGAAAATATGCAATATGCATCGGAATTCTTCCCGAGACCACCTATATCCAAAAGCGTAAATTTGTATTCAGCGTAAACAAAGCCAACTAAAACATTCGCTGTAACAGCAGATTCTGCAGTAAATGCTCCTGAAATGAAAAAAAAATCTTAATGTTATATTTGTATCCGATACCCAATATTCACAATAACAAAATGTTAAACACAAGCTTGTTTTTTATTTATTTATTTATTTATTTTACCACTTACAACTATCATCACAGGTGTATTCCCTAATACAATTGTAGCGGACAGCGAGGAGGCCGCCGCCCCGTCGCCCCTTCACACCCCGGTGCGCCCCGCGCACCCCGCACATCGGCAGCAGATCACGCGATGTCGCCGACCAATGAGCGCGCGGCATCGCGGACGGCGCTACGCACGACCCGAGACGCTCTCCGGCGAGATATAAGAAGGGCGTCTCGGACGGTGGGTTGTTCATTTCGGAAGCGGCACTCGACGAGAAGAAGACAGCAAGAAAATCAAGAAAATCAAGACTCAAGAAGACTCCATCAAGAAGACTCCCCTCTGTGTAATAGTTTAATTAATAGTGCCACATTTTGTAAATAGTTAGAATACAATATAGTTCGACAGTACCATCTTTTCTTTGAGCAGTTGCCCCCTAGCGTACACCCCCCTACCCCCTCAATAATACAGTCCACTGCGATCCATAACAAGTTCTTGGTCCATCGTCGCCGGATTCAAGCCAGAAGAAAGAAGAAAGAACATATTTATAGAAGAAAGAACATAATTATTGAAGAAAGAACATAATTATTGAAGAAAGAACATAATTATAGAAGAGAGAACATAATTACAGAAGAAAGAAGATCATTACAGAAGATCTTCGAGGAAGAAAGAAGTACGTCGACGAAGAGAGAAGATCGTCGGTGCTAACTCCTTCCTCGTTTCTTATTTACATCGACGTCATATATATTGTCTGTTTCCAGACAATTCCTGTTTCTTAACCGCGTTTACGCGGCCGGGTGGTTGCTCCCTAACGGTGCCAAACAGTGACCATCCGGTAACGCCCTTGAGGCGGGAACGGCGTCCAATACGTGCGTCTTTTTGAAGACGATCGGAGGTCGCAACGAGGGATACCATCATGCGGAAGACAAGAAGCCAGAAGACACGGAACGACGACGAAACGCCAGTAGGAATGCGGATATTCGAGGAAGCACCCGCGTCCCCGTCCGATTATCTCGCGTTGGCACAAGCGCCCCCCGCCGCGCCGCAGCCCCCGCTCGCGCCCGCATCTATGCCCGCGCCCGCGCCCGCGCCGCCGCGCCCCGCTATGTCCGTGTCTACAACCGATCGCCTGGGAGAAGTTAGCACATCCGCGCCGCGCACAGAAACGCTCGCCGCGATAATAGAAGATCTTCCGACTACGGAAACTAGTTCGATAGTGCGTACCGTCGCGCCTGTAGCAGACGTTGTACATAGGCCCGCGTCCCGCGCCCCGTCGGTCCGTTCAGTCCGTTCAGCCCGGTCGACAGCTAGCGCAGTAGCAAGATTAAAGCAAATCGAATATAATGCCGCGGAGGAACTAGCTGCAATTAGGAGGAAGCAATTGCAAATAGAGGAAGATCTCGTCAAGAAGAAATATGCTAGGGATATCGCGCAACTGCAAGAAGAAACCGATAGGGAAAGCCTAAACGAGGACGAATTAGTCGAAAATAGGGTACGCGTTGATAGGTGGTTAGAAAACGTAGAGACTGTGCGGGGGGAGCCGCCCTACCGCCCGCCTCAGCCCGCGCCCCGCATCGAGATAGAGCAGGCCCCACCGAGGAGGGGAACCGGTTACGACCACGCTGAAGATGCCCAGGGGAAGTCAGTCGCGAATGACGTTCAACCGCGCCGCGTAAATAGGATACAGAGGGATAATGGAGTCGCCGTAGAAATGAACCAGGTGGATCGTCGTGTACGAGCTACGTCGCCGTCGCGCGTCCAACGCCGCACTCTATCGCCTACACATAGATCGCCACATCGCCTTACGGATCGTAGATTACCGTCGCCGTGTCATAGGGATGTAGGTGTACATAGATCGCCATCGCCACATCACCACGCGGATCGTAGATCACCGTCGCCGTGTAATGATGTAGGCAGAGATAAATCGCCACATCGCCTTGCGGATCGTAGATTACCGTCGCCGCGTCATAGGGATGTAGGTGTACATAGGTCGCCAGCGCCACAGCGTAGGCTAGAAGGAAATAGGGATAGAGATAGGTCGCTCACCCCGCGAGGGAAGGATAGGGGTATAGAACGGCTAGCGGAAGCTTTAGAAAACATGGTTAGAGTTAGACCAGCCGCCGCGAAACAGACGCAGGACTTGCCTATTTTTAACGGCTCGGCCGCGGAATGGTTAGCATTTAAAGCCGCGATGAATGAATCCACGCGTTTATATGGATTCACAAATACGGAAAATATGGCAAGATTAAGGAACTGTTTACGCGGTGAGGCTAGAGAGGTAGTATCGGCTCTGCTGTTTACCGCGAAGGATCCAGCAGACATTAATAATAATAATAATAATGTCCTCCAGACCGAATTTCGGTCACGGCGGCCAGTCTCAACGGAGACTAGCCATCTGCGCAGGACAGGATTATAGTGCCCAAGTGTTTGCGCAAGCACAGGTGCACTCTCTATTCCCTCACTCTCATAGTCCGATGGGACGGTAAACCGACACGACCGGAGAGAGATCAGGCGCAGGACCAACGGCTTAACGTGCTTTCCGAGGCACGGGGGTGAGACACCGCCAACTTCCTGACTCCGGGCAGCTACTAAGAATTTCTTGATAGAAAAACTCAATAACTGATTTTTTGGCCCGACCCGGGATTCGAACCCGGGACCTCATGATCAGCAGTCGCACTACTACAGCCACTAGACCAACGAGGTAGTCGCAGACATTATGCGGACACTGGAGCAGTGTTTCGGCCGCCCGGAAGTAATTATAGATCGTGCGTTAGAAGAATTGAAACGCCTTCCGCGCCCGGGTCAAACCGCCCAGGAATTAAACTCGTTCGCAATTAAGTTACAAAATATAGTGTGCATTATGCAAAACGTCGACGGCAAGGGTTATTTGCGTAATCCAATGCTGACTAGGGAGGTTACTAGCAAACTTAGCCCTCACTTACGGTCGCGTTGGTGCGATTATGCGGAGCACTACGGAAGTGTGGACGAACCGGACATCGTTACGTTATCCCGGTTCATGATGAGAGAGGCTGACCGTGCGTTAAGTCATGCCTATACGTCCGTAGCGTCGACTAAGGAATCGCCCGTAAGACGAGAGACGCCGCCGTCGAAAAGAATAGTGTTAACACGCCGCGTAGAAGATAGGGCCCGCGACGTAAAGACGTTCACCGCCCAGGAGGACACCGGTAGTGCCTCATGCATGTGTTGCGGGGGTGAACACCCTATCGTCAAATGTAAGAAATTAGAGCAAATGGGCTCGGACGACCGGTGGAATTGGGTTAGGGAAGAGGGGGTATGTTTCAGGTGCTTGAGCAGCAAGCACCGACGTATACGCTGCAAAGCCAAGAAGTGCGGCGTCGACGGTTGTAACGCCCCCCACCACGCTCTTCTTCACACCCGCAAGGCCCGTACGCCTGCAGCGTCGGTTAAACCGGACGAAACCGTGCTCGTCGCGTCGAGTGTTAGCAGTAGTGCGCCCGTATTGTTAAAAGTGTGTCCGATAACCGTGCGCGGACCACGTGGAAAGGAAGTAAACACGTACGCGCTACTTGACGAAGGCTCTACGATATCGCTAATCGACGACGACTTAGCTCGCGAGTTAGGAGCGGAAGGACCGATAAAGCCGCTCAACATTAAAGGCGTAGGTAACAGTCAACGCGAGGCTAATAGTAGATTAGTCAATATAGGGATACGTGGCAAGACGCGCAGCGAGATGTTTAACATAAACGCGCGAACAATAACCGACTTGAAGATAGGCTCGCAGTCCGTGAGTAGGGAGTGCTTACGATTAAAGCACTTACGTGACTTACCGAGTTCGGTGTGTTACGACGACGCGAAGCCAAGACTGCTATTAGGCGCCGACAATTGGCACTTGATAATTACCCGTGCTTTAAGGATAGGACGTCGAAGGCAGCCTATAGCTGCACGAACGTTATTGGGATGGGTAATTCAGGGAACCGTGCCGCGGTTAACGTGTAGGGAAGACGGCGAGACCGTATTACACGTAGAGAGCGCTAGCGGACGGTCAGATAGGGACATCCGAACGTTTGCCAGTCGGGACGAGGAGCTAACGGAACTCCTCAAACGGCAGTACGAGATAGACTCTATAGGTATCTCGCTGAAGAGTAGGCCGCGACGGGACGAGGAGCGCGCTGTCGACATATTCCAGCGCACCGTCAAGAAGGTCGGCGAGCAATACCAAGTTGGACTGCCATGGAAGGACGACAACGTGCGGATGCCACCCAGCTACGAGATGGCAGCGCGAAGACTACGGACGATCGAGAGGAAGATGGACCAGTCGCCGGAGTTTCGTGACGCCTACACAGCCCAGATAGACAACCTCCTGGCGAAGGGATACGCAAGGGAAGCCGAAGGGACAGAGCGAGAGGATCCCAAGAGCTGGTACCTGCCACACTTCGCAGTACGGAATCCGAACAAGCCGGGGAAGACGAGATTAGTGTTCGACGCGGCAGCGCGTGCATCCGGCAGATGCCTTAACGATTATTTACTCGACGGCCCCGACTTATTACGGAACCTACCGGGCATACTGTTTCGATTTAGGGAAAACGAGATAGCGGTGTCCGCGGATATTAGGGAGATGTTCTTGCGTGTAAAGATCGACCGTCGCGACCAGCCCGCGCAGTTGTTTCTTTGGCGAGGAGACGAGCGACGCAGCCCACCGCGGGAGTACGTTATGACGTCAATGATTTTCGGTGCGAGGAGCTCGCCGTTTCTCGCACATAGCGTTAGGGATCATAACGCGCGCGTACACGCAGAGACACACCCGTTGGCACTTAATGCTATCACACGTAGCCATTACATGGATGATTATTTAGACAATTATGCCACGGTAGAGGAAGCGATAAATACGGCGAGGCAGGTTTCGGAAGTGCACCAGCAGGCCGGTTTCACCTTGGCAGGATGGAACTCTAACCACGCAGCCCTGTTAGAAGACAAGCCGGAGGACTTACTGGCGCGTAAGCCCAAAGAAGTAGGCTTAAGACAAGACAGCCCAGGCAGAACCCTAGGGTTATTATGGATGGCTGATGAAGACGCCCTAACATTCAACACGTCAATGAATAGGGTGCCGCAAGAAGTGAAGGCGCTACAGCGACCACCGACCAAGAGGGAAGCATTAAGCGCGGTCATGTCCGTTTTTGACCCGCTTGGACTGCTGAGTTACCTCACCATCACCGCCAAGATCCTGCTACAAGACTTATGGCGCATGAAGAAGGTCGGATGGGACGACGAACTACCCGAGGAGGCAGCAGAGGAATTCCAGCGATGGCTGCGAGTCGTCGAGGAGGTGTCACGACTACGACTGCCAAGGTGCTATGCTCCTACGGGGGGAGTTGTAGAGCGTCAACTTCACGTCTTCAATGATGCGAGCGAACGTGCGTACGCATCCGCGGCGTATTGGCGTATACGATATCGCGACGGAACGATTAGGGTGCGATTAGTGGCGGCTAAGGCGAAAGTCGCCCCAATTAAAGCGCAAAGTATACCGCGATTAGAGTTGCAGGCGAACTTAATAGGCGCGCGACTCGCGGAATTCGTGCAGGACGAACACAGAGTGGTAGCGGATAGGGTCGTATATTGGACGGACTCTACTACGGCGCTCCACTGGATACAAAACGATACGGCGCGTTACACTCCATACGTTGCTCACCGGTTAGGGGAGATAGCTGAGAAGACATCACCCGAGCAATGGAGGTGGATACCGACTGCGGAAAACGTAGCGGATCAGGCAACGCGGATGAATTTCACAACCAAGGAAGAGAGCGACAAGTGGTTTACAGGACCACCCTTCCTCTACGAGCATGAAGACAGATGGCCTCACCGACAGGAAGAGAAGGCGGGGGATGATGAAGAGTTGGAGGAAATCGTGGCGCACCAGAGCGACACCCAGGAAGCTCCACACCTGCCGGACATAGAGAGATTCTCTGCCTACGAGAAGTTAATCAGGGCCACTGCAAGAGTACTACAATTCCTCGATGCGGCACGAGGAAGAGCACGAGGACTGACCTTACAGCACATCCAGAGAGCAGAACGGATGTGGATATAACGCAGCCAGCAGGAAAGCTTCGCTGAAGACATCAGCCGCCTTCAGCGGGGAAAGAATTTGACCACCGGCAGCGCACTAAGGAAGCTCGACCCCATATTGGAGGATGGAGTGCTACGAGCCAGGGGAAGGATCGACGCAGCCGACGTGGACGGTCAAATGAAGAGACCCATTATCCTGAATGGACGTCACCAATTTGTGAAGCTGCTTGTGGAGAAGGCGCATCAGGAAGCAAGCCACGCCAATAGGGAGAGGGTGGTGAACGACCTGCGCACTAGGTATCATATCCTCCGATTACGACCTACAGTACGGGAAGCGGAGCGGAGATGCCTGCGATGCAGAATACGGAAGGCGACACCACGACCTGCGGTTACAGGAGACCTACAACCTGAACGGTTAGGGGCGTTTGCGCGACCATTTACGAACACCGGGATTGATTATTTCGGGCCTCTGACGGTTACGATAGGACGACGGCACGAAAAACGGTGGGTGGCACTGTTCACGTGCCTAACGACGCGCGCAGTACATCTAGAGATAGTCTATTCTCTGACCGCGGACTCGGCGATATCGGCATTGCGGCGCATGGCGGCTAGGCGTGGGTGGCCACGGGTTATTTATTCGGATAATGGGACTAATTTTCATGGGACAAACACAGAATTACGACGGGCAATGGAAGAGTGGGCGCCGCAGTTGAAGGATTACGCGCTGACTCGGCGCGTCGACTGGAAGTTCATCGCACCGGGCGCGCCTAACCAGGGAGGCGCATGGGAGCGTCTCGTGCGCTCAGTGAAGACCGCGCTCGAAGCCACTCTCCATCAGAAAAGCCCACGAGAAGAAACGCAGGCAACGCTTCTGACTGAAGCCGAAAACACTATAAACTCTCGACCGTTGACGCACGTACCGGTCGACATCGACGATGAAGAGGCGCTGACGCCCAACCACTTCCTACTGTTGGGACCATCGGGCCTGCCAGTCACCGCGCCGTGCACACCCATGGATCGTCGGGAGTGGAGAGCGGCGCAGGGGCTCGCTGACGAGTACTGGAGGCGCTGGGTGAAGGAGTACCTGCCGACGCTGGTCGCGCGCGGGGACTCCAGGGATGCTCGGCAGCGCCAAATACAGGAAGAGGACCTCGTCGTGGTTGCAGACGGTAACCTACCCAGGAACGTGTGGCCGCGGGGCATCGTAACGAAGACGTTTCCTGGACCAGACGGCGTGGTACGGAACATCGAGGTCCGGACCAAAGGAGGAGTGCTGCGGCGGCCCGTCAGGAAGATCGCCGTCCTCCCGAGAGAAGCTTAGGCTCGCAGGCTACGCCGGGGGGAGGATGTAGCGGACAGCGAGGAGGCCGCCGCCCCGTCGCCCCTTCACACCCCGGTGCGCCCCGCGCACCCCGCACATCGGCAGCAGATCACGCGATGTCGCCGACCAATGAGCGCGCGGCATCGCGGACGGCGCTACGCACGACCCGAGACGCTCTCCGGCGAGATATAAGAAGGGCGTCTCGGACGGTGCGTTGTTCATTTCGGAAGCGGCACTCGACGAGAAGAAGACAGCAAGAAAATCAAGAAAATCAAGACTCAAGAAGACTCCATCAAGAAGACTCCCCTCTGTGTAATAGTTTAATTAATAGTGCCACATTTTGTAAATAGTTAGAATACAGTATAGTTCGACAGTACCATCTTTTCTTTGAGCAGTTGCCCCCTAGCGTACACCCCTACCCCCTCAATAATACAGTCCACTGCGATCCATAACAACAATAGTGCCGTTAGAAACTAAGAAAGTAGACAAACATAAATAGGTATATTATGAACAACTTAAAGATGTTTTACAATAAGCGGGCTTTGTGAATTCGTTCAGAGTACAGCTGAACAAATGAGTCTGTTGTGAGAGCACGTTACGTGCACGCAGCGCGCTGCAGCAAGCGCGCGCTTGCGGCACCAACACGAGCGGCGGCCGCCGTCTTCCTACGTACTCGTTAGGGACACACAGCTCAGCTATCTGCAGCAAGCGGGCGCTTGCGGCACCAACACGAGCGGCGGCCGCCGTCTTCCTACGTACTCGTTAGGGACACACAGCTCAGCTATCTGCAGCAAGCGGGCGCTTGCGGCACCAACACGAGCGGCGGCCGCCGTCTTCCTACGTACTCGTTAGGGACACACAGCTCAGCTATCTGCAGCAAGCGGGCGCTTGCGGCACCAACACGAGCGGCGGCCGCCGTCTTCCTACGTACTCGTTAGGGACACACAGCTCAGCTATCTGCAGCAAGCGGGCGCTTGCGGCACCAACACGAGCGGCGGCCGCCGTCTTCCTACGTACTCGTTAGGGACACACAGCTCAGCTATCTGCAGCAAGCGGGCGCTTGCGGCACCAACACGAGCGGCGGCCGCCGTCTTCCTACGTACTCGTTAGGGACACACAGCTCAGCTATCTGCAGCAAGCGGGCGCTTGCGGCACCAACACGAGCGGCGGCCGCCGTCTTCATACGTACTCGTTAGGGACACACAGCTCAGCTATCTGCAGCAAGCGGGCGCTTGCGGCACCAACACGAGCGGCGGCCGCCGTCTTCCTACGTACTCGTTAGGGACACACAGCTCAGCTATCTGCAGCAAGCGGGCGCTTGCGGCACCAACACGAGCGGCGGCCGCCGTCTTCCTACGTACTCGTTAGGGACACACAGCTCAGCTATCTGCAGCAAGCGGGCGCTTGCGGCACCAACACGAGCGGCGGCCGCCGTCTTCCTACGTACTCGTTAGGGACACACAGCTCAGCTATCTGCAGCAAGCGGGCGCTTGCGGCACCAACACGAGCGGCGGCCGCCGTCTTCCTACGTACTCGTTAGGGACACACAGCTCAGCTATCTGCAGCAAGCGGGCGCTTGCGGCACCAACACGAGCGGCGGCCGCCGTCTTCCTACGTACTCGTTAGGGACACACAGCTCAGCTATCTGCAGCAAGCGGGCGCTTGCGGCACCAACACGAGCGGCGGCCGCCGTCTTCCTACGTACTCGTTAGGGACACACAGCTCAGCTATCTGCAGCAAGCGGGCGCTTGCGGCACCAACACGAGCGGCGGCCGCCGTCTTCCTACGTACTCGTTAGGGACACACAGCTCAGCTATCTGCAGCAAGCGGGCGCTTGCGGCACCAACACGAGCGGCGGCCGCCGTCTTCCTACGTACTCGTTAGGGACACACAGCTCAGCTATCTGCAGCAAGCGGGCGCTTGCGGCACCAACACGAGCGGCGGCCGCCGTCTTCCTACGTACTCGTTAGGGACACACAGCTCAGCTATCTGCAGCAAGCGGGCGCTTGCGGCACCAACACGAGCGGCGGCCGCCGTCTTCCTACGTACTCGTTAGGGACACACAGCTCAGCTATCTGCAGCAAGCGGGCGCTTGCGGCACCAACACGAGCGGCGGCCGCCGTCTTCCTACGTACTCGTTAGGGACACACAGCTCAGCTATCTGCAGCAAGCGGGCGCTTGCGGCACCAACACGAGCGGCGGCCGCCGTCTTCCTACGTACTCGTTAGGGACACACAGCTCAGCTATCTGCAGCAAGCGGGCGCTTGCGGCACCAACACGAGCGGCGGCCGCCGTCTTCCTACGTACTCGTTAGGGACACACAGCTCAGCTATCTGCAGCAAGCGGGCGCTTGCGGCACCAACACGAGCGGCGGCCGCCGTCTTCCTACGTACTCGTTAGGGACACACAGCTCAGCTATCTGCAGCAAGCGGGCGCTTGCGGCACCAACACGAGCGGCGGCCGCCGTCTTCCTACGTACTCGTTAGGGACACACAGCTCAGCTATCTGCAGCAAGCGGGCGCTTGCGGCACCAACACGAGCGGCGGCCGCCGTCTTCCTACGTACTCGTTAGGGACACACAGCTCAGCTATCTGCAGCAAGCGGGCGCTTGCGGCACCAACACGAGCGGCGGCCGCCGTCTTCCTACGTACTCGTTAGGGACACACAGCTCAGCTATCTGCAGCAAGCGGGCGCTTGCGGCACCAACACGAGCGGCGGCCGCCGTCTTCCTACGTACTCGTTAGGGACACACAGCTCAGCTATCTGCAGCAAGCGGGCGCTTGCGGCACCAACACGAGCGGCGGCCGCCGTCTTCCTACGTACTCGTTAGGGACACACAGCTCAGCTATCTGCAGCAAGCGGGCGCTTGCGGCACCAACACGAGCGGCGGCCGCCGTCTTCCTACGTACTCGTTAGGGACACACAGCTCAGCTATCTGCAGCAAGCGGGCGCTTGCGGCACCAACACGAGCGGCGGCCGCCGTCTTCCTACGTACTCGTTAGGGACACACAGCTCAGCTATCTGCAGCAAGCGGGCGCTTGCGGCACCAACACGAGCGGCGGCCGCCGTCTTCCTACGTACTCGTTAGGGACACACAGCTCAGCTATCTGCAGCAAGCGGGCGCTTGCGGCACCAACACGAGCGGCGGCCGCCGTCTTCCTACGTACTCGTTAGGGACACACAGCTCAGCTATCTGCAGCAAGCGGGCGCTTGCGGCACCAACACGAGCGGCGGCCGCCGTCTTCCTACGTACTCGTTAGGGACACACAGCTCAGCTATCTGCAGCAAGCGGGCGCTTGCGGCACCAACACGAGCGGCGGCCGCCGTCTTCCTACGTACTCGTTAGGGACACACAGCTCAGCTATCTGCAGCAAGCGGGCGCTTGCGGCACCAACACGAGCGGCGGCCGCCGTCTTCCTACGTACTCGTTAGGGACACACAGCTCAGCTATCTGCAGCAAGCGGGCGCTTGCGGCACCAACACGAGCGGCGGCCGCCGTCTTCCTACGTACTCGTTAGGGACACACAGCTCAGCTATCTGCAGCAAGCGGGCGCTTGCGGCACCAACACGAGCGGCGGCCGCCGTCTTCCTACGTACTCGTTAGGGACACACAGCTCAGCTATCTGCAGCAAGCGGGCGCTTGCGGCACCAACACGAGCGGCGGCCGCCGTCTTCCTACGTACTCGTTAGGGACACACAGCTCAGCTATCTGCAGCAAGCGGGCGCTTGCGGCACCAACACGAGCGGCGGCCGCCGTCTTCCTACGTACTCGTTAGGGACACACAGCTCAGCTATCTGCAGCAAGCGGGCGCTTGCGGCACCAACACGAGCGGCGGCCGCCGTCTTCCTACGTACTCGTTAGGGACACACAGCTCAGCTATCTGCAGCAAGCGGGCGCTTGCGGCACCAACACGAGCGGCGGCCGCCGTCTTCCTACGTACTCGTTAGGGACACACAGCTCAGCTATCTGCAGCAAGCGGGCGCTTGCGGCACCAACACGAGCGGCGGCCGCCGTCTTCCTACGTACTCGTTAGGGACACACAGCTCAGCTATCTGCAGCAAGCGGGCGCTTGCGGCACCAACACGAGCGGCGGCCGCCGTCTTCCTACGTACTCGTTAGGGACACACAGCTCAGCTATCTGCAGCAAGCGGGCGCTTGCGGCACCAACACGAGCGGCGGCCGCCGTCTTCCTACGTACTCGTTAGGGACACACAGCTCAGCTATCTGCAGCAAGCGGGCGCTTGCGGCACCAACACGAGCGGCGGCCGCCGTCTTCCTACGTACTCGTTAGGGACACACAGCTCAGCTATCTGCAGCAAGCGGGCGCTTGCGGCACCAACACGAGCGGCGGCCGCCGTCTTCCTACGTACTCGTTAGGGACACACAGCTCAGCTATCTGTAAAATACCTGGCTTATGTATTTTACCACGGATCACTTTTAGTAAGTAAGTGGCGAGAGCAACTTCCCTTCTTATTTCTAGTTTATAATAGCCTATCATGCCTAGTATATGTTATATTTTATTCTTAAATTTTAAGATATAGTTTTTATATTTTATTACAAAACCATTTCATTTAAGTTATTATTATATTTAATTCATATTAGATATCATCTAAAATATTGCCTATAGTTGCCACGCTTGGCAGGCGAGGTTGGCAACTGCAGTTTTTTAATATTTTGAGGTGTTAACAGGAAAATGCTGCTAACCATTTCCTGTTTTATTTCCATCTGTTGCCTCATATAATACCCATGGAATGATGTAGAATAGTGGATTCTCTTACAACACCATTACGTAATAATAAAGAATTTACTATATTTCTTGTTACCTATTTCTATTATAATGAATCATTTATTTTCTCCATTCATACCATCTGCTATTTTTACATAAATTCCTGCAGCCACCGTATGGCTCAAAACTTGTGCAGCAAGTTTAACTCGAATCGTCCACTTTGGGTTAGGATCAAGATAATCTTCTGTAAGGGCGGCAGAAGCAGACAAAATTTATATTTTTGTCCACATTTTTTTTTATAGGATAAGGGTGCCAAGAGAGCACACACTCCACCTGATGGTAAGTGGTTGCTGTGGCCCATAGACATCTACATCTATCTTCGGTTACGAATCAAAATGTAGATGCATTGTCACCCATGAGAACTAAGATGGAATGCTTCATTTCCAGTAAAAAGGGTTTCCGGTTCTCTACACTCACCATACGAAACACAGCAACGTTAAGCTGCTATTTTACGCTGGTATTCTGTGAGAGCGTGGTCCTTCCCCGGTCGAGCCGACCCATTTGTGCTACAACTATACTATTAATATAGCTGGTAAAGCCATCTCTAAAACTGTACAAAAAAGGTTATTATAATATCAAGGAATACATGAATGAAAATAACCCCTGGCAATAAGGAGATCGCCACCATGCTGGTTCTATGAAAAATTGTTTAAAAATTGTATAAACGAAATAATGTTTGAAAAAAAAAGAGTCCCGCTGGGTTTCTTGCTGGTTCTTCCCAGGACAGAGGTATTTTCCGAACCAGTGATAGACAAAAAATGACTTTCAATAAGAATTATGTAATAATCGATATTGAATAAAATATTATTCTATTCTATTCTACCACGTAAAAAAATTTGAACTAGATTTTTATGTAAAATGCTGTAACTAGCTTTGTCAAATAATTTATTTCAAATGCAGAATTACTCATCAGATTACCTATTCCAATCTCAGTACCAGATGAAACGTTTGTTCTGCACTGAATGTCATATTTCATAAATAAATTCCAAAAACCCTTTAATAAATGTGGTGTATCAAAAAGTGACACTATTTCTTTGTTATGGAATGCAAAATAGGGTTGTTTGTAAAATTTGCACCTAAAATAGAAAGAGCTTGTCGATTTACTCCTTCCATGTCACAGGCTGTTGAAGATATATTTATTCCAGCCTGAAAGCTGAGAATTAAGACCTGAAATTAAAAATCAAATATGGTTACTGCTGTTGAGATTGTTTAATCTACTTTAATTTTAGATATTTCAATAAAATTAAACATATCATATAAAGTACCAAAAACTACTTCTTTTATTAGTACAGCAAGTCTATCTGCAGTTGAAAATGCACTGGAGGAATAGTGGGCAATAGGCTGTTTCACTATCTTTTTTTTTATATAGCATAAGGGTGACAAACGAGCACACAGTCCACCTGTTGGTAAGTGGTTACCGTGGCCCATAGATATCTACATTTATCCTCAATAACGAATCAAAATGCAGATGTGTTGACACCCGTGGGATCTAAGATGGAGTGCCTCGGTTTCCAGTAAAAAGGGTCTCCGGTTCTCTGCACTCACCATACGAAACACAGCAGCATTAAGCTGCTATTTTACACTGGTATTCTGTGAGAGCGTGGGCCTTCCCCGGTCGAGCCGACCCATTCGTGTTACAACTATACCAGAAATATAGCTGCAGCATGGCTCTACCACGTATAATCTATATATATATATATCATATCTTCCTAATACCAACAATCATAAACACCAATGCATATGAGGCAATAGCTAGAGATCTTCTTTGTGTACCATGATCCTGATACCATTCAATAAAATCATTTGGGTTATACATGAGCATGACCATGAGAGGGGGCAAACGAGCATGTGGTTCACCTGATGGTAAGTGATCATCACCACCCATGAACAACTGCAACACCAGGGAAACTGCAGATGTGTTGCCAGCCTTTTAAAAATCAGTAGATTTTTTTGAAGGTCCCTAAGTAGTATCAGTCCAGAAAAATCTCTGGTGGTGGTTGATTGATTATCTGATGGTTTTATTGTTTTTATGAAAACTGCCAACAACTTAAAAACTGGTTGATTGATTCCAACAGCAAAAGATACACTGTTGAGCAAAGCCTTCAGTGCACCAGGGGATGGCAATTGGAAAAGCATTCTTAATAGCCTGTAACAGGTGGGTGACTTTTTATAAAGACTCAAGGTTATAATTTTTTCCCCTTTTGTCCATCTGTGTCCTGTAGCTTTTTTTATAATTTCTTAACTAACCTTGTAATAACACTCCAAATGTTGCCGTTATATTCTCAGACAATTTTCTTACTGCATTGTTATCACTTAAAACATTTAATTTAATTTTGGCTTTAGTTTTTAATGCAATTATACGATTGGCAGACTTCTCTCATGCAGTTTTATCATTTTTCATACAGGCATATTTCTTTTTCAGGCTCTACATTATTTGATATAGTTTGAGATGTTTGTGGCTATTCTTCATTGGATGTATCTCTTAATGTTGTATTTTTGAAGATCCTGCTTGTGGTTTCGCAGCAACAAATTGCGAGGGACCAGCTTGTGATTCCACAAAATAAGACGGGAATATAATAGACACTTTGTCAGTCTGAAAATAAACAAAAACTGAAATAAATTACAGTATAATAAACATATAGGTATTGTCAAAAATTAAATTAACATTATGTGTATTAACATTTCTTTTATAATATATATAACCAGTCCCTGCCTGCTATATCTGCTTCCTTATAGCACTATATTACCTTTGATCAATACAAAATAAGCTTGCTCTATAATAACAAGTCAAAACATTCAGACATATTTTTTTCTATATATAATAAGGGTGACAAACAAGCACACATTCCACCTGATGGTAAGTGGTTGCTGTGGCCCATAGACACATCTATCTTCATTTGTGAATTAAAATGCAGATGCGTTGTCAGCCGTGAGGACTAAGATAGAATGCCTCTTTTCCAGTAAAAAGGGTCTCCAGTTCTCTACACTCACTATACAAAACAGTAACAATAAGCTGCTATTTTACACTGGTATTCTGTGAGAGTATGGTTCTTCCCCGGTCGAGCCGAGCCATTCGTGCTACAACTATACTATTAATATAGCTGCAGCATGGCTCTACCACATATAAATTAAATACTTCAACATTTAATTCTAATTATGCGAAGAAAAGTTAAGTCTTGTGTTTGTCTGTTGCTTGAGAACCATTTGATGCATACATTTCTGTTTTGTTCTACCCCTTGTCCCTTTAAATTTGAGATGATGTAAGTAAAAAACTTACATCATATGGGACAGCAGTCCTTAACAGCTTTTTCTTGGAAGCATCAGTAAAATCACCATCATTAAAATGTTTTTCACACAGCATTCTGTGCTCATTATGTAGCTTTTCTTGAAAAGCTAAAGAAGTATACTGCTCTTCGGCTGGAAACAAGTACTTCGCCCACAATGTACAGCTGTAACCAAAAAATATTATTATTAAATACAAATACTATCTAAGTAGTTCCAGTGGTTTACTGACCAATAATCCTGGTTAGAGATAGTTAAGAGAAATAACCTTTCATTATAAGTTGGATAAAAAGAGATTTGCTTTAAGGTTGGAACTTTATACAGAGAATAAATACGTACCGCAAAATATTCTTTACTGCGGGTTTCGGAAACCTAAACAATTTAATGTTGTCTACGGCCGGTGACCTGCCGCACTTAAAACACTTTCTTCTATTTTCTTTATCCGCCATTGCACAACACGGTTTTTAGAGTTACTTTCTCGTATTTCAATTTCACTAAGGAATACTGTCCAACACTTTGTACACCACCACCACTAAACACAGAGTACTAGTCATAGATAAATATATATGTAGCAAGCTAGTACTAGTACTTTTTATAAATTATGTCTGTATGTCAGATTGGATTGGAGGAATTTGCAATCAACTCAATGCGACTATTTTAAAAATGTCGTCAAATAGGTTGTTGAATCTCATAACCACATAGCGTTTTAATTTTATCTTCTTACATCAACAGAGGCGACATCTCGTGCCAACAGATGGATTTAGTACATTATAACACGACAAAATCTAAAAACTATACGTTTGATAGACTTTAAATGTTCTTTTGGTTCATCTAAATTTAGTATAATAATAATTGCGTTTTTCAAGCATTAATGTACTAAGATTCTATGCCCTGCCACTAAACGTAAGAAATAAATCTCAAATTCTCAATTCAACGTCCTATGCCGCATCCAGTCCACACGCTTGGCTACACAGAGTACATTATATACATTGAGGTATTATGTACTACGTACTAGAGGCGACACTGCATTATGTTACGCTGTTCCATTCAACTGCGGTGATATTGCCGCACTTTGCTGTACTCAGTCGCTCGCTAGCTCGCTAGGCGCTAGTGAGTTGATTTATTAATACATTGCATGCGCCTTAACGTAAATTCGCTGATTTTACACTATTATTCACCAGCTGCGTATAAATACGTTAGAGAATGCTAGAAAAGTAATAATAATGATCTTTGAAAATAAATTCATATTTTTATATTTCACATTCAAGTACCTTTTAAAGTATTAAATAAAATATCATTGAAACAGGAACAGAATTTTTTTTATTCAATATAGATTATAAATAATACTTATTGAAAGTCACTCTTTTGTTTGATTACCACTGGTTCGGAAAAAACCTCTGTCCTGGGAAGAACCAGCAAAAAACCCAGCGGGACTTTTTTTTTAAATAACCGCTTACAATCATGATGTTACATAAATTAACAACACAACAAATTAGAAATAGCTTGGTAGCGATCACCTCATTTCCAGGGGTTATTATCATACATAAATTCCTTAATATTATAATAACCCTTTTTATACAAACTTAGTTTAATAAAGTTTTTGAATTTTGAGCAGATCAAACTTTGTATATTTTCTGGAATTTTGTTGTAAAAGCGTATACATCGCCCCAAGAATGAATTATTGACTCTATGGAGTCGAGTAACTGGTACTACTAGCTTGTGTCTGTTCCTAGTATTTACAGAATGAATATCACTTATTTTTGTAAAACTACTTTTATTTTTGTGTACGTACATTACATTTTCATAAATGTATTGAGAGGCCAAAGATAATATATTAATTTCCTTAAATTTTTGTCGCAGCGACTCTTTAGGCTTTAAATCATAAATTGCTCTTATGGCCCTCTTCTGTAAAACAAATATAATTTCAGTGTCAGCTGCGTGTCCCCATAGCAAAATACTATACGACATTATGCTATGGAAATAGCTAAAGTAAACTAGTCTAGCTGTTTCAACACTGGTTAGACTTCTAATCTTTTTATAGCATATGCTGCAGAACTAAGTCTGCTTGCTAGTTTTGATATATGGGGGCTCCATTGAAGCTTCGCGTCTATTGTGATTCCAAGAAAAATGGTGGTATCTACAAGACTCAGTTTCTCCCCATTTAAAATTACATTAGTATTTAATTGGTTGACATTTGGAGTCATGAATTTCATACATTTCGTTTTAGTGCCATTTAAATGCAAATTATTAACAATGAACTAATTTACTAATTTAGATATAGCATTTTTTACTTCGTCATATTTTAGTAATTGTCGATTAAAATGTAATTCTGTCAAAACAATATATTATGTTATATTATATTAAATTAACACATAAATGCAAAATAAATAACATAAAAATTGTACTCGATATAATTTACAATACAATCTAAATAAACAGTTACTTAGATTGTATACATATTGATCATTCTACCTACGTATAATCTATGATGACAAAAACCGCGCATGCGTGACTCTACTATTAACCGCGCATGTGCGAAGACATAGAGTAGCGCACATTTTTTGTTTGGAATAGCTTCTCTAGTACGTAGTACATTATAACTCAATGATTATATATAGGGGGCTTGGCAACAAAGAGTATAGTAACTGTCCTATACAGGAACTTGGCAAACAACGGCGAACACCAAACAGCAAACACGACCGTGTGGATGGTTGTTTGCCTGTTTGTTTGTTTGTTTGTGATTGCCTGTGATCGGCGTTGGTATCGGTTTTTGAGCACCAATCAAATAAAAGGGTGTTCGACAAACGTGTTTGCGATGTATGCACACGTTTGGCAATCAGTCAGTAGTACGCGCGAGCTTGCAGCTTGCGGGCGGCGGAAAGAGTTACTAGTGGCTATTATTATTATACTCTACGCCAATGTTACCAATCCGAAATTTGTCTCGGAGGTAAATATGGTTTCAGAAGTTGAGTTTCCTAGCAATTTTACTTCGAAAAGTAGCAGATCCACCACCTATCCTTTTTCAGTTTTCTAGAGACCTCCCAATAATAATCCAATACTCCTACTTAATGTTTCTATTGGGTAACAAATATTTCACCTCTTTTTATAAGGAGCCCCATGTGTAAGCAGGATCATTGATCATCCATTCCCAAAATAAAATGCGAAAAAAATTTAAAATTAAAAAACGATTTAATCAGGCCAGAAAACTGAAATAAAATTTTAAAAAACATTTTTATTTTGGGTACTTCCCATGCAAGTAAATGAAGGATGATTTTTTTTACGTGTCTATTCCATCATATGGGGTATCGTTGGATAGGTCTGTCAAAAACATTGGGGGTGTTGAACAACATCTTTTCGATTCAGTGGTCCGTTAACTTATAAAATACACTTTCATTATTAAAAATTTCGTTACATTTTCATAGAAAAAGACCTAAGACTAGCTGCATTAATAATTTGTAATGTAATTGTAAGCTGTTAAAAATAAATATTTTATGAAGAAAACGACTCATATGCATTACTACTATTAGTGTTGGCGATGCGCTTAAAAAAAGTATATCATTTTCATTCCATAAATAACAAACAATTGTGCGTTTTGAAAATATTGCTATTAAATTATACAAGGCATTTCGAATAAAGAGATAATCTATGTTAAAAGTAAATAGATTCAATATAATGTCGAACTAAAGTTCGGGCTTCAATTCCCCGGTCAAGCATTAATTTCATAAAAAGTTTGTTTTTAGATTGGTTTAGAGTCATGCGTTACATAATTCGTTTCCTTCTTTTTCGTTTAATTTCATTTTGCCTTTTTTTAATAAAAATAGGTCAACCCGATACTAATCGCTGCCACAAGCTCGTCGTCCGCCATGTTTGCCCATCCGGAGTATACTAGCACGTTCGCCGAGCGTGTGAATGCCGTGTTTGTGTTGGGTGATTGTGGTCGGTGTTTGTTCGTGTATGGTGCTCGTAGCAAATACCAAGCGTCTGGAGGCGGCACTAAGCTAGCAACATTTTAGAAAAGGAGACACAATCAAACAAAAACAACAAGCAATCACGAACGACAAACGACAATAATAGGCTTGAGAAAAAATATAGATATATCGAAATATCGATATTTTTTATAATTAAATTTAATAAAAATATGGATATTTTAAATCGCGATATATCGATATTTATTTTGGAGTATTGAATTCGTATCAATTTCGATATATTTTTAAATTATGTAGTAATGTAGTATCAATGACAAAACATAATAACATAAAAAGAACAACAAAAGGAGGTTCAAAAGTATTCATCGGTGGTTGTCTTTTTTTTCGTCGTCCAACCGTCAGTAATATAAAATTTTGGACCTTATCTTTACATCATGCAAATGGTGACGATATATCGATATTTGTCACGTGATATATACTGATAGTTCTGATAATGATGAATATTACACATGTAATAAAACAAATTTTCATAAATCAGATTACATGTTAACTGTTATTTAAGTTTTTATTTAATTTTCTTTGGAAGAAACTTTCATGAAAAATTACATAATAGAGCATATTGCTGATGTTAAGTACCGACCCTCCCGGTTCTCAGGTATGTCAACATGTTCAGTATCGTCCCAACCATTATATCAGATCTGATAAACGACAAATCCTCGCAATAGAACACGAATTCCTACCAAGGATGATTCCCGAGGCTATTGAAATTAAAAACATCCTAACTTCAAACCCAAGCATACTACTGCAAGACATCAAGATACTGTAAGCTCGTCCTACGTAGGTCGGACCAAATATTTTTAGTTAAAAGTTGATTGTAGTCTTCGTAAACTATGACATCAGGTAGGCTTGGGCAAAATATATCGATATATCATCGATATTTTAAATTGCGATATATCGATATTTATTTTAGCTTATAAAAAATGTTGTATCAATGACAAAATATGTAACAACAAAAGGAGGTACAAAAGTATTCATGTGTGGTTGGTTGTCGTTTTTTTTTCGTCGTCCAACCGTCCGTAATATAAAATTTCGGACCTTATCTTTACATCATGATGATGACGATATATCGATATATGGATATTAATCACGGATTTTTGAAATGCTCCCGAAAACGAAGACAAACGACAGTACCAACTATACCTTTGATGATGGATAAAATATAAAATCGATCCTGATGAAAAAAAATGATCTTTTCACAACGTTTTATTAGCTTTATTCATTCTCTATCATGTTAGTACAGTTAAATGAAACGATAATTTCATAAAAATATCATGAAAATACTTAAACATAAGACCAGCAGTGGAATTACTGAAATACAATCAGCTGACTAGGGGTCAATGTATGCGCGAACGCCGAATTCGCGCGGCCCGCAGCTAGTGGGCGATACCACAATACCTAATAATTTACAACACTTGTCTAAATACCTAACTTATCTACTTAACCTACTATTTTGCCACTGTGCT